CTGCGCCTTAGCAGTTTAAGTTGAACGCCAAAGCTTCAACTATATTATAAACTATTTAATATTAAATATGGGAAAATGGGAGTGCCTGTTGATAAATTACTGTGCAGGGTATCTGTAAATTTCGGAGAACTGTCATTTGTGTATTAATGTGCGTTCGGTTGATTGCGTATGTGGAAAAGTCCATTAATTATTAAATTTGTGTGTTTCGCTCGCAATTCAATTAAACAAAAGCGGCTCTCATTATTGTTGATAAAAGCAGAATACGGCTTACTTAGATCATATGGTAAACTAAAAACGCAATTGCAAACGAAACAAAGCAAATATATATTTCTCATTGTCACTGGCTTTAATCTGAAATGAACATGTTTTAATTACTGTGCCATAATTGTTTATTTTTTGCGATAAGGCTGCGCATCCCGCACCACAAAAAAAAAAAAAAAAAAACTGACAACTTTTCGGAACTGAGATTATTTTGCAGAGCACGGATTTTGTGGCACCACGCGAAATTGCATGATGAATGCTACCTATCGAGATCTGTTTTTAGATCGGCGCAACTCACGATAGTTCATGAATGGATTTCTAAATTTAGTCTGCAATCTTTTCATAGCAATCATTAAGCTTTGTGTTTTGCTAATTTTAACAATAAATATTTAAATACAGATTTGTTTAACAAAAACATGCATCTTTTAATAAGACGAATTACACAAATTGCCATTCGACACACATATAAACAAAATAAAGTTTGATTGCTGCTAAATTGGCTAAATTTGAGTATATAACCATTCACTTTCTCAAATCAAATTAAATTGTTTGCTGCACACAAAGAGTTATACTCGCTTACTCATCATCAAAGTACTCCCGCTGGCTTTTCTAATAGAAACTATTTTTTCTAAAGATGCTTATCTAAATATTCTGTTTGACCTGAGATCTCGCTGCTTGACGCTTGCCACAACATGATTTATACGTCAAGAAATTTGAGTTGATCTTGATCTTGATGGAGCTGCAAACAGGCAGACAGAGAGACGGACAACATTTGATATTATGAATCATGCAGTAATTCCATTAAATTGTGCCATGTTTGCATTACTCGAGTCGTTGTCAACTCTCCTTCTTCCCTCCCCATTCGCCTCGCCACGCCTTCTTCAATTTGTTTATTATTTGCAAACCTGTTGCATTTTCCGCATTGACGCGCACTCATTAGCAATTAGCAACAACGGTTGCTGCTCAACACTATAAAAGGTCATCTGGCTGTTGTTGTATGCCATTTACTTTTAAAATACAATTTATGAATTATCTGGACGCTTATCTGGGTGAGACGAGTAGCGTTCAGCGTTCAGCGTTGGCATTTTACTCATGGGTTATTTTTTGACATTATTACGTACTTAGCGTTATATTTCATTTCGCTACACTTTCGTGGCAGTTGACAATCTTTTGCTGTTACCCAACCCTGCCCCCGCCTGCTCACTTCTTTGATGACATCACGCAATCCAATTCTGAGTTGGTTTTTATGTGTGCATGTGTGTGTGTGTGTGTGTGTGTGCCTGAAAGAATCGGCCTTTTTATTAATCTTATCAGAAAGTTGCCTCTTGGCATGAACTGATGCCTCTGAATTTATTTTTATTTTTGCCTTTACCTTTACCTTTACCTTCATTTTATTTTATGTGTGCGTTTTGGCTGCGAGTGGAATCGAAATATCTTTTTGAATGTATCGAAAGTGCTGGTCACTTAACCCCTCCCCCCCTTTCCCACCCCCTTCCCCGCGCAACCATCATTTGTCTGTTGCGTGGGGTGTATTTATGAAGCTGATTATTTTGTATTGAATTTAAGAAAATAAAATAAAATGGGTAAACAGTCGATTAATTGCAATTATCAATCAGTAGTTGAAGCTAAATATTTTTGTTGTGTGTGCGTAAATAAATGTTTGATAGTAAACAGCGGCCCCTAAAATGTTATAAAGGTTAAATTAACACCTTAATCAAAATGTCAATGAGCAAATAACCGCAAAACAGACAAACAGACGTGCTCAATGCGAGCACTGTTTAACTTTTATTCGCATTTTCTTTCTCGCATTGCGTATAAAGGTGGCCAAATGCTTAAAATATAAAGGCCGATGCCCGACTCCCTCCCTCTCAAAAACCAAAACAGTGACGCCGAAATACTGATGAGTCAATCAGAAATTGAAACAGAAACAGCAACTGAACTCAAAACATTGATCGAAACAGTAGCGAGAAATACACCGCAGAAGAAAGCGAGTTAATTTTAAAGTGAAATATATGTATAAAAAAAACAAAAGAAATATTAGAATATATAAAATTTTAATAAGCCATAATAATCAAACATAATTAAAGTTGCCCAACAAAAAAAAAACAAGTACAAAGTACATTTAACGTCGGAGTTGCCGTTAAGTTTATCGTTAAGTTTAACATAAAATGGTGAAAATGCTCGACTTCGACCGTCACGCTGAATGCCCCCTGTGGGCGGCATTGGCTTCCGATGTGCCCTGGACGGGCATGCATTATGCATGCCTCAATGTCCTCAGCATTTACTGTAAAGTATTCGATAGGAAAGAAATTTACGATCTCATTGTAAGGTAAGCGAACGCAATATGCTGTGAAAAGCTATCGCTAGATGGCGCCACTTGACAAGCTTTCGCCAGCGCTGTGCAGCGGACAAAAAGTGTCTTAATGCTTGAGTTGATTTTGATTATAATTATAATAAAAGATAGTTACTTATGTCTAGTTGGGTATTTATGATTAATTATCATTTGTGTAATATTTCAGAAAAACTTGCCAGTCATGCAAGTGTCCGCGCGAGGCGCACGCCATTTATCAACAACAGACGACCAATGTGCACGAGCGGCTGGGTTTCAAGCTGGTCTCGCCAGCGGATTCGGGTGTGGAACCCCGAGATTTGGGCTACACGTGGGTGCCGCCGGGTGTGCGTGCCTCGTCGCGGGTGAATCGTTACTTCGAGCAGCTGCCCGATGAGAAGGTGCCGCGCTTGGGTAGCGAGGGGGCACGCATACGAGAGCAGCAGATCTCATATCAATTGCCCAAACAGGATCTGTCGCTGGAGCACTGTAAACATCTGGAGGTGCAGCACGAGGCCTCCTTCGAGGACTTTGTGACGGCACGCAATGAAATCGCATTAGACATAGGTATGCAGATTGCAGTGACATTCAATTAAAAGTTGTTCACTGTCTAATTAATCACTTACTACGGCTCTGCAGCTTATATCAAGGATGCACCCTACGATGAGCACTGTGCGCACTGTGATAATGAGATTGGTGCCGGCGATTTGGTTGTGGCCGCGCCCAAATTCGTGGAGAGCGTCATGTGGCACCCAAAGTGCTTCACCTGCAGCACCTGCAACGAGCTGCTCGTGGATCTAACCTATTGTGTCCACGACGACAAAGTCTACTGTGAGCGCCACTATGCGGAAATGTTGAAACCCCGCTGCACCGGCTGTGATGAGGTAAGTGCCCCATGCATCCATCACCAAATTGTTCTGGCTTTTACTTGACTTGACGTGACTTGACACACAACACACACACACAGTGCTAAGCACACTTGCCAAATGCTTAGCACACTTTCAGGCGGTTTGTGTTTTTTGTTTCTGTTTTTGTTTTCTATAGTTTCTAATTGGCTCTCATCTCTCTGTTTTTTTTTTTATTGCCTGTCGCACGCAGTTGGCTTTAATGGTCAAGGTGTGTCCGCCCTAATCCTTAACTTACATCCCTTCTTTGAAATGATTCTCATTGAACTTCACATGTTGGCCAGCTAAATGTCAACGCTTTGCTTGGCTAATGCACCTTGAGACATTATCAGGGCAAGTTGACAGTTCACTTACGGCATTGCTTCCGGACGTATTCACATCCTGTTTGCGTCCGCTACGAGATTTTAGTTCAAAGTGAGTCCAAATTGTTGCAAGTGAAGTCAGGAAGCTAGCAAAGTCTTATCAATCATTTCCAAGTTTCCAATCAATCTATCAAGCATTATGCAAATATCAAATATTTTTTTTAAAAACAAAACAATTGTTACAAATAAACCGATATTGGTTGGCCAAGAGTTAAACAACCAATCATCAATCAATCGTTATTTAAATATTTACTTTAAATGCAAAACAATTCTTGATAATAAACCGACATTGGCTTAATGCTCGTCATTGTATTATTATTGGCGATTAGCTCTGCATACACTGTCAAAATGTCTGACAAATCTGTTGACAGGTAAGGTCTATGGGTCCATTATTCATATAGTTCTTGTGACGTGGCATTGCTTTATTATCTGAACTGATTCATTTGTCATTGAGTATAATAAATATGTGTTGGTCACTAAATGGGCAGCCCCGCCCCCTTCTTGGATGCTGACGAGCTGTTTGCTCTTGGTTTGATGTTGCTTCGCTCACTTTCGCTTTCAACACACAAACCAACCAAACAACTACAAGCAAACGAGCAGGCGACCCATTTATTTTTGGCTCATTTTCAGATATTTATGAGAAAACAATAAAATAGGTGTTTAAAAATAGATGTGGAACAGAAAAACTACGCATTAATTGTTGCTATTTTGTTATTTGTAATTAAAATGAAATTATGTTGGCAATGGCGGTGGCTGCCACAAAATTTGTGGTGGCAGCAGCAACTGCAACATTGACCATGCGGCAAAAATGAGAAGGCCACGCATTAAACTATTAAAAAACATAAATAGCAAGGAGAGCGGCGACAAACGATAAACGTCAAACGAAACGATACGAAACAAATGCGAAAATGCCAAGAAAACAGAATATGAGAAAAAAATATTTGTGTATATATCCAATATATAGTCTATATAGTGCTGATGTGTGAATAGATGTGAGTATAAGTTTAAGTATTTATTCTTTGCTGGCCCCTGTGCTGAATACATCTGTTGATTTGAAAATCACTCGCAATTTAAATGGCATGCTGATTAGAAACGCTTGTCGTCCACTTGGCTAATTCCAATTGTCAATTCGTTGCCAAAAACAAAAAACAAAAAAGAAACAAATACCAACCAGCTTCGTGTACTCCACCTCTTCCTCCGCTGTGTATCACCCAATTAGCACCTCTGTTTGTGGCAATTGGGTTGGCTGGTTGTTGCAATTGTTTTGGCCGTGTGATTCACTTGAGTGCTCGGCCCTTAGCTGGTCGCATTAATCAGTTGCAAGACGATCGATTAACTGGCAACAACTGGCGCCGACTGCAACGCGCTACTCGCTGCTGCTGCCCGGGTGGCTGCTCCCAAAAAAAAATAGCAAGTGAAAAGTGTTGAAAATATATTCCTAAATAAAATATAAAAATATTGCTTGGAATTTCATTTGCATATATTATGAATATTGTGAATTTTGCTCACTCAAAAAGAAGAATTCGCACAATTTTCGCTAGTCGAAAATCCTAATTGAATTACCTAATCAGTTTTTGGCCATTTGGCGAGTGCCGCGAGAGTGAGTGCTTCAGTGAGTGCCTCAGTGAGTGTCAGTGAGTGTTTTTTTTGTTGTGGTGCGTGTGGTGAATTTTATATAATAAACACACTCGGCACACTCTCATCGATCGTTTGAAGTCACATCCATTGCATCGCTGGCATTGCTCGGAGGCATTACGCAAGCGGACGAGAATGGCTGCTGACCAGGCGCTGACCGATGTCGGTGAGCTCATCTTCTCGCTCATCATTGGCTACCTGGGCGCCCTGGAGTTTGCCTTTGTGGCCCGCCAACTCTACCACTGGACGTGCCGGCATCCGTGCAGCAATGAGGATGCTGATGCCGGCGCCGATGCACACGAGTTGCCACGTCTACGCGATCGTCTGGACAAGGAGCTAAAGGAGGCGGTCGAGCGAGAAGCAGCTGCCGGCACAAATGTCATGCAGGATGGTGTTCTCTACAGCAACGGTTTCCGTGTAGAGTCGCCGGAGGCGAAGAGGGCAGCGTTGGCCGCGGAGCTGGAGCGACAGCGGCGCATCGAGGAGGAGACACGCAAGCAACTGGCGGATGCCGAGCACAAATTGGCCGAGGAACGGAGGACTGCCGCCCAGGAGCGAGCAGAAGCCGAGGCGGCGGCGGCGGCGGAAAGCGCACAAAAGCTCATCGAGGCGGAAAAACAACGCGAAGCGGCGCAACGAGAACGTGAAGAAAATGAGGAACGACAAGAGAATGAGCGAAAGCTGATTGAGGCCGAAAAGCAACGGGAGGAGAATGAAAGGAGAATGCAAGAAGCCGAACAACAACAACGCGAACGTGAAGAGAATGAGCGACAGCTGATTGAGGCTGAAAAGCAACGGGAGGAAAACGAAAGAAGATTGCAAGAAGCCGAACAACAACAACGCGAACGTGAAGAGAATGAGCGAAAGCTGATTGAGGCCGAAAAGCAACGGGAGGAGAATGAAAGGAGAATGCAGGAAGCCGAACAACAGCAACGCGAACGTGAAGAGAATGAGCGAAAGCTGATTGAGGCCGAAAAGCAACGGGAGGAGAATGAAAGGAGAATGCAGGAAGCCGAACAACAACAACGCGAACGACAAGAGAATGAGCGAATATTATTTGAGGCGGAAAAACAACGCGAAGCAGAGCTGGAGGAAAATGAGAGAAAACTGCAACGCGAACTCGAAGAGAATGAGAAACAACTGAGAGAGGCAGAAGCAGAACGCGAAGAAACACAACGCAAAAGAGAATTAGCTGCAGCTGCGGCCGACGAGCAAGACGAACTAGAGGAGAATGAGAGAAAGCTGCAGGAGGCAGAAGCAGAACGAGAAGAAGAGCAACGTCAAAGCGAATACGAAGAAGCTGACAGGGAAGCGGAACGTCTCCTCTTCCAGAGCGAGGAGGAGCAGGCCAAGCGCGATGCGGAGATTGTGGAGCGACTTTTGGCCGCGGAGCGAGAGCGTAAGCTGAGCGCCACTGAAAGTGAGCTCGAGGAGGAGGCCATCGTTCTGGAGCAGACCAGACGACTGGCGGCCAGCAAGGCGGCCATGGAGAAGAAACAGAAGTCAATCGAGGAGAATGCCCGCCTCTTTATGGAGGCCGAGGAGGAGATGGTAATGATGCAACAGCGTCTGCTACAGGCACAAAAGGAGCAGGAGGACGCATATTATGCCGGTGCCGTGCCCGTTGTGGAGGAGCCGTGCATTAAGAAGATTTTGCCACCTCGCTACGAGGAGCCAGCGATTGATGAGCCGATGATAGTGCAGCGAGTCAAGACGCAGTTTGGACAAACCAGCGCTGCTGGTGAGGAACCCTACACGCGTTCCAAGACGCTCACGTTTCCTGGAGTATCCGATGAAGGTTCCTCGGTTGAACCGATTTCCACGCAGCTGTCATCATTTAGCACACAAGCCTCCGACGAGCAACGCCAGGAGCCCGAGGGCGAAGACAATGTGCCCGATGTGCAGTACACCGAGGATTACTTGCGCTCCCTCGATGGCATCAAGAGTCGTCCGCTGGTGCGTGAGGATGGCTCGGGGCGCAGACGCGCCTTCAAGAAACGTCGCTCGAGCGGCAGTTCGAATTCATCGCGCGAATCGCGTGCCTCACGCGACGAGGAGCTCAAAATGTTCACATCGCTGGAGGAGGAGGAATTGCGACATGGCGCCAAGGAGGACTACAATCCCATCAAGTACAGCTCAGAGCCAACGCTGCGGGTTAAGTCTCAGAGACGGCACAAACGTAGTCCCGCCAAGGATGTAAAGCCACCAACTGATCCGACTGCTGCATTGGAAATGCTCGGTGAGGAAAGCGCAAATCCCTGGGGCGAGGGTGCTCCGGAGCACTATAAGAACACGGAGTTTTGGAAGCGCGAGAAAGCCCTGTCCATTGATGAGGAGGAACTCGAGCATGAGAAGAGAGTATCTGGCGAAGAAGTGGTGCACATGGACAAGCCGAAAGCTTCCTCATTCGAGGAGGCGACAGAAGCACAAAATGAGGAGGCAGCCCACTCCTTGCGACAGCAGCGTTCCAAGGAGGAACAAGTGGTAAGTGCTGAGTGAAATATGCTGTGTGAGCGCTTTTAATTATCCACAATTGATGCCCCAGGATAAGGACAGCACAGAGAGCTCCACGAAAGCAACGGATTCAAGCCGCAGCGACATAAAATCCAATGTAAGTGCAATCCTCAAGCGAGTCGGAAACCCTGCGTTAATTTATCCCCAGCTGGCTTAAGCCCTCCCCCAACTAAATAAAATGCTTTAACCGCTTTCCACTTTGCCTTTCATATGCCAACTTGCTTCTGCTTTTATCCCTGCTCTCGCTTCTGCTTTCCGTGCCTTTGCTTTTGAAGCTGCAAACCTCCCAAGCGACGGAGGAGCAGTCCCGACGCGGTTCACCCGGCTTGCGTCGCAGTCCGCGCATCGATGAAATCGATCACTATGAGGAGCGTTGGCGAGAATCCGAGGCAGCCAGTCAACCAGCCAGTCAGTTGCCCAGCATTACCGTCCAGCAGCCAGATACGGCACCCTGGCAGGACGAGTTCGGGCTAATGATGGAGGGTATCAGCGATTTCTACGATTTTACGGCATCAGCAAATCGATCGAGATCACGCACCCCATCGCGCAATTCCCCGCCGCAGCCGAAGAACGTGGCCAATTGCATGGATGTGGACGAGGAGCATACGTTGGAAGTATACGACGATAGTCAGGAGGGTCTCATCGCTGGTGAACTCAACTGCGAAATGGTTCTGCAAATGCTGGAGTCCACCATGAATGGAACCGAGAACCAGTCGCAGCAACTGCAGCTGCAAAATGTTGCGGACGATGCTAAGAATGGTAGCAATCAAGTTATTGCCATGATCTATGAGACTCGATCCGCAACGCCGCCTGTAACCATCAGCGAGCTGGAGAAGGATCAGTTAGTGGATCACAGTTGTCCCATGGATGTGGAAACGAATGGCGTTGCTGATGCCCAGCAAACTAATATCGAAACGAATACAACTCTGCCCCAGCCTGTTATCGAAATCAATTCAATGGCTGATGAACCAATCGAGATTCCCGAAGAACCCATTCCCACCCGTGAGGAGATGCGTTTGTTTGTTGAAAATTTGCGCGCCGAACGTATTTCAGGTTCCCAAACCCCGGGTCGGTCCCGTGCCCGTTCTCGCTCCCCCTTGCCCACCGCTGATAATATCGCTCGCAGTCTGGAGACACGACGTCTGAAGCGCATTCGACAAAACGATGAGCTCTTCGAGAAACTGAAAGATGAGGAGCATTCGGCACGCTCAATTTCACCTGTTCCTGCTGAAATAAATTCACTGATTTTACGAAATTCACCTGCACGTGATCCCGATGCAATGATAGAACCCTCCCTTAAGGAATACGCACTTTTAAGAAGTGGTTCTAGTTCGCCAGTCGCAAGAATTACACCTGCTCCCCCAGAGGAGAATCCTTCGCCTGCAACAGTTCCCGATTTAATGATAATAACGTCACTTAATGAAGAAGAGCCTTCTAACAGGGTTTCGAGTCCATCCTTAACTGTTACTGCTCCTCAAATTATAATCACCCCGCTGCCCCTGCCCACTATATCGATTGAGATGGTTGAAGAGCCACCTCAGGTACTGGCAGAGGACCAGGAGCCCGAGTTAACACCAGAATCTGTGGCCAGACTAGTTGAACAGCTGCGCTTGAATCGCTGTCGCTCCCATTCCCGTTCCCGATCCCCGCTGCCCACAGCTGCCAATCTGGAGCACAGCGTGCAGAGGCGTCGCGAGAAACTCATTGCACAAAATGATGAGTTCTTCGAGCAGATGCAAAGGGCCACAACACCTGAACCAGAGCAGAGGGGAGCCATAGTGGAGAATATTTACGAGCGACCCGAAAGCAGTCGCGACATGCGTTCCCTTTCACCTTCCCGCTCGCCATCGCCCACCAACGTTGATTCCGAATCTGCTGATGATTTCCAACTGCTGCTCAATTTGGAGGGCTGCGAACAGCGAACATTGCGCAAGAGTAGCGAGGAGCTGGAAAGTGTGCTGGCTCACAATGCCAAGCAACATGAATTCGACTTGGAGGCACTGCATCAGCTTCAAATTGCCAGCGAGGAAATCGAGCTGCCTGTTGAGGAAGAGGATTATCCACTGGATTATGAACGCACCTTCTCCGAAGCAGCTCGCGAATTGAGGAGTGAGTTGTTAGTGAGCGGCTTTAAGCGCTCCACTTACGTTGGTGAGTCCATGGACCTGGGTCTGGGCCCTGAGTTCGAGCAGCTGCGGCAGGAGAACGCTCAGTTTCGACGCTCGCATAGTCCATCGCCCTCCCTAGACTTGAGTGTGGCCCGGGAGCAGGCAGCGGCGCAGCGTGAAATGCAGGCAGCTATTTTGAATTCGCTGGTGGATGCCAGCGTCGGTGTCGAGGATGAGAACCGTCTGGGTGCCAAGCCAAAATCAAGTTCCACATCTGAAATACAGCAGGTGATCAAGGACGAGAAATTGGATGATATGCGACATCGGACAGCGGAATTTCAACGCTCCCGCAGTCAGAGTCGCTCCCCGGTGCGGGATGAGGCGGATGCGCCGACATTGCGGAATATCGATGTGGAGGCAGCCAAGCGGCAGCAACAGGATCAGCTGCTAGATCAGCTAGCTGCCTCAAGTGGCAACTTCCAGAACTTCTCACGCTATCTGAATACCGACTTTTTGGGTGAGCGACGTGCCTCGGATTCGGCAATCCTACAGCCCGTGGAGCCCCATGAGGAAATGGAGCCCGATGAATATCATCATTTTAGACGCTTTTCACTGGCCCAGGAGCAGGCGGTCGAGGAGTATCCCAGCAATGAGTGCATCTACATATCACAGATTGAGGTGCGTTCGCTGACGGGCAAAAGAACTTGGCTTAAGGAGGATTTCTATACGCATGACTTGGCCAGCTTGGAGCTGAACTTTGACGAGCTACCCAAGAAATCAGAGTACGAAACGGAGGAGCGCTCCTGGGCAAATGCTGTACTCGCTGCAGAGGCAGAGGCAGCGGAATTTGATGAGACGAGTGCCATCTATAATTATGACATCCTTAGGGAGTACCACGGAAACGAGGAAGTCAGCAGCAATGACAGCGACGACGAACGACAGACTGTGGTGGAAATTGACGATGACGACGCTGAGGATGAGGATAATGAGTACGAGTTTGAGTTGGATGAGGGCATCTCGGATAACAATGAGCGCACCCAGCCGACAGATGAATCCCATCACGATACATCCGAGTGCGAGGAGGCCGAACGCAATGCAGATAGTTATGCGAATCGGGGTGCCAATGATTGGGAGGAAATTGATAATGTGGAGGACTTTGCAGACTATAACATCGATGATGGTGCTGTGGGCGGTGCTTACTCTGATCCGGACGCCTACATTGAACAGATCTACAACGATGCTGTGAAGAATCGCAAACAGTCGGGAATTCTAAGAGACTACGAGACAATGGTGCAGGAACAGTTGCCGGGTGATAATGCTGACCAAAGTGAGTCCGATAAGGAGAAATCTAGTTCGGATAGCGAACGTTATGCTCTATGGGCAAAGACCAGAGAGCTCGACCGGCACGAAGAGAGCAGCCGGCATAGGGAGGCTGACCTATCACTCGGACTGCTCGAAAGTGAGCGTCGGGATACGGGAATGCGTTATCTGGGCGATGCTCATGTGGCTGCTCGTCAATCCACCCGGCTGCGCACTCGTTATGGCTACAGTCCGCAGCTACAGGCGGGTGTTGTCGAGGATGACATCGAAGTGGATCTGAATTACGTGCCCAAACGTGAATACAATTGGCGTAAGAACTTCAAGCTGGATGACAACGAGCCACAGCAAACACTGGAAGTTAGCTCGGCGCCAAGTCCTCCCGAAGAGCTGTCCGAACTGGTGGACCAGAAGGAGCAGGAGCAGGAGCTGGATCGGGAGCAGGAGCTGGATCGGGAGCAGGAGCTGGATCGGGAGCAGGAGCTCGATCGGGAGCAGGGTCGGGAGCAAGAGCAATACGAAAGTGTACCAGGTGGTGAACTGGACCCACGTCGCCATAGTTTTGGTGGCGAGAGCATCACCCTCTTCAGTCGCAGTCCAGACCGAGAATTGTTATCCGCTGTGCCCGAGGAATCGTTGCCACAGCCGGAGAATGCCGAAGATATTGGAGAAACTGAGTTGGCCATGCAGTCGCCCATTAAAGAAGCAGCCAGCGAGAAGCCAAAAAAGAAGAAGAGCAAGAAGAAGATGCGCAAGGGCTCCAAAACGGAGGAAGACCTGCACGATGACAACGACTCCGATAATCAGGAGTACAATCGACGCGGTTCCGCAGTCAGAGATGAGGTGGAAACCGCATTGGAAACAACCAAACGCAAAGTGCGTTCGCGACGCAGCTCCAAGAGCAGCTCCGCCAACGAGGAGCCCACTGGAGGCGGTGGTCTCTTCTCGCCACGCAACAGCATTGCCCTTTTGGCTGAGAGCACACTGGAGGGCATTGCGGAATTCGAAACACCCGACGAGGCCGCATTAAAAAAGAACACAAAGAAACGCAAGAAGTCCCTCAAGGACACCAAGGAGCAGAGCTTAGTCCAGGCAGTTGAGCAGACCCTCGACGAGGCTGTTGCTGAAGCCCTTGCCCAAATAGCTCCAGTTAGGGTGTCGGTTTCCACGAATCTAACACCAGCCTCAACACAGCAGAATCTCCTATCCAGTCTCAGTGCTGGGCACAGCTTATGCCTCACCCCCGCCTCATCCTTCGAGGAGCCGCCCGCCATCCCCAACATAGCTACTAACCATGCTGAAGTTGCAGCTGTAACAACGCCAGCGCGTTCCGCTGTGGACACCTTTGACATACTCAAGGATGCCAATTTCTATCCGCTTTTCTAGGCTTGCAATATGAATGATTTACATATTTGATTTGAATATTTATTTATTTCTTATAGACATGTTCATAAATCCCCAAATCGTGCACTCACCCAATCTTTGCACCCAGTTCCAGTTCCAGTTCAAGTTCCAGATACGCACTGAGGCTACTTAGGATCATCACACACTGTATTATACTAACGACCAGACCCAGAAATGCTACTCGAAACGATACTCGTATATATCGAATGATAATGTGGACTATTATTATTGTTTGAAGCTTATTTTATTTAAATGTTAGTTTATTTGTTGTCGACTCCTTTATAACTGCTGAGAATAAATATGAATATATATATACATATAAATATATATATAAAACTATGATGAAAACATACACATTCAAAAAGTTGTAATCACTTCCAACTACAAAACTGCATCTGTTCCAAGCTGATGCTTCTAAAAATATTTCCCCAAACGATTCGCATAATGTTCTATTTGTATCTGCCAAAAAAAAACCAAAAAAATCTGGCCAATGCACGGACCACGGGCAAAAATGCCCTAGCATTGAGATCATTTCGTTATCCAAATGGCCGGTGCATGCGCCAAGTGCACTGACATTCATTCAGACGGTAGAGACAATTAGCCATATACACTATATATATATACATATAAATATAAATATATATATATATATATACTATAGCATTTGCATGGCCCAATTTGCAATTTGGCTCGTTTCCGTCGCATGATGTCATCGTTTTCAGTTCGTCTGTGCTGGTTTCTGTCGGTTGATGAGAAGGGAGGACATAAGTCATTTGATGGTTTTATTTTAATGCTCTTGTCATCCAGCCACAAATTACTTAAACTGTCATGTTGCGAAGAATTTTATAAGTGCCGCTAATAACTTGATGCCGGGGGGGTTTATAAATGACGTACATATAAATGAAATTCAACTTGTTTAATTGCGTTGATATAAAACTTAATTTGAGTATTTGAAGCTATATATATTTAATTTAATAGTTAAGTATAACAAGTAAGAAGCTTAATTTTTGTTATGCAATCGCAATTGAGAGCGAAAATATTTATAAGATTCTATTTGGGGCTACTTTCCTTTAATTAAGTAATTTCCAAACCCCAAAAGCCTGCAACAGTTTGCGCCTGAAAGCATGCATCAATCTTTGGCATACCATTTAATATTAATGATTTTGTGGTTTATTTGCGAAAAAAAAAGAATTTGCTTTGATAGAAAGTCAACCACTTAAATCATATTTTCTGCATGCTGAAATAATGCTGTCAGCTTTCTAGTGTCATATCCTTTGTCAAATTAAGCGCAATCGTCAGTCAGCGGGGGCCACCAAGCGAGAACTGATGCCAAATAATCAGAAATCAAACAACAAAATAAAGAAGAATGCTTTGTTAAATGTGAGTGAACGTTTCGCGCTAAAATATTTATGACAACAAACAGGAAAGTATGTCACTTGGGTGATTTGTTTACGCAGCTCACTCTGCGAACACTTTTTGGGTCTGGGGGGTCTTTTTCCATTGTATATTTATATATATTTTTTTTTTTGCTGTTGTTGTTGGTGTTTCTGCAATGAGCGCAGGGCCTTTGTGCCTAGTCTTATGTTGTTCTGAAAAAAGTCCATTGCGTAATGGCACATTGATGTACGTATCCAAAAATAATACATATCATTGTACGTATGGTTCTCGTACAGCAAAGAAAACATGCGAAATTCGTTGCCAAAAAGTCTTATTCAATAGTTTGTCTTTGACATGAATTCATTTTTCCTGGGGGCAAACATTTGGCGCACTTAAAACTTGGCGCATTTTTTCATTTAATATTTTTCCTATACCCACACCGAACACAAAAACGGGTATATGCGATATGTATACGATTTTAGAATGACTGGGCTCATTAGCTCTATAATTTGTTAATATTTCTTGAAGTGCGGGTATCCGTTGGTTGGCTATGCCGAATTGAATAATTTGTACTTGTTCGCTTTATTTATCTTTAGCATACATAAATTTGTACTATTTGATATATTCTTGTGATGGCAAAGCAAAAAAAATTGGCTTAAATAATTTAAAAATTCACTTGAAACGGCTGGCAAATGATTTTTCTTAGCTGTGCCACTAAAATGAAACACCTTTCCATTTGTTGTTGTTGCTTGGTTTTTCCCATTTTTCATTTTTCATTTTTGCCATGTACACAAAGATGCTCTATACATGTTTTTTATTGACGTGAATTTGTGTTTTACGATCCTCGAGTGGCGTATGCGTTATTTGACATGCTCTCATGCCACAACCCTTTCGACCATTCCAAAAATTAATGATGTTTTGTGCCGCGTGCAAGAAAATTGCTAAATGTCATTTAATGGCTAATCTTCTATTTATAAGACTGAAACATATTAAATGCAAATTAAGGCTCTCTCTCCAGAAATGAAATCAGCTGTTTCTCTTTTGTGTATTTTGATTACCATAACGATCTTAAACTTGAACTCATGGCCATTATTCTTCAGTGACGCAGTTTACACGCCCTTCACTCTTATCCCCTTTATTCATTGATGTGTGAAATGTATTTTTAAACACTTAAAAAATATACAGATACTAGACATAGTTTCCATAAGTTGAAACCCATTAGCCGCTGCCGCTTTTCTTTCGCCCAATAAACAACAAATTATAAAAATAAGCTGGAAAATAAAATACAAATTTATGACCCAATTAACGCCCCGATGCCGCCGAATGTTGAACGCGGGGCACTCACTCAAAAACTCAAAGCACGCAAAACTTTATCAGAGATTCGCGAATCGCATCTATTTATAGACAAACATCCAAGATTGCATTACACTCTGCTCCATTGCGCTTGCACTTGTTTTTCTTGTTGTTGTTTCTTTTTTTTTTTTGGTTGTCTGCAACGTCTGTTGCAATAAAAGCAGCAATTTTATATGCATTTCATACCACATAATATAAATATGTGCTGATTCACATGGACTCAATCGAAAATATCGCATTTTATTGTATGCATAAATTGTAATTTAAATTTCAAGCGAAATTCGCTGTATAATTTGAGTAACAATTTTTATTTTATTATTTTGCTTATCAAGCGAGTCTAGCAGATAACACATATTCATATAAACATCTCGATATAATTGTAGCAGCTAAAATTCTGAATAGAATTGCATATTTTTGCAAGTGCAAATTGTCATCTTTTCCTAATATTTAAAAACGAAATATTTTTATTTTTATTTTAATATTTATATTCATAATTTTTGCTCTGCTCAACATCTGCAAATTAGTTGATTTTCAAATGTCATCGATGCATTTGAATCTGCTTATTTTCCACTAAATGTCTAAGACAGATTTTCGACTTTATGGGAAATGGCATTTGCCTTGGACACTTGCCCTTTCGTGTCACACAACTGGTCCGCTGTGAAATGCTGAAACAAATTGAGCTAATTATAATTATGTTCAGCATTATAATCGAAATTTGGAGGACTGTTTGGGAATGGGCCAGAATAATTATGTATATATATATATGTATATATATAAAAGTTAGAGGCAAAAGAAAAGTTCCATTCAAAGAACTGCTTTCAGTGGGATTTGCTGCAACTGTTTGCAATTTTGTGTTATTATTTCCAGTGGAATTTGAACGTTCGTTCGTTGTCTGTGCCAAAAAGTTGTAATGTCATAAAACCCATATTAATCATGTATACGACCCACGCTGCTGTTTTCATCTGAACGATCAATTAAAAATCTATATAGAACGACGTTGCAAGAAAACTATCTGCAGCAAGATAGCGGCAGCACAACTAGATCCAAAATCCAAAGGAATTTTTTAATGTTCCAAGTGTGGGAGCGCCAACAAAATGAGCGAAATGCCCACTGTGTGTGTGTGTGTGTAAGTGTGTGTGTGTGTGTATGTGTGAGTGTGTGTGTATATGTTGGATTTGTGTGTCGTGTGCACAAGCGCCAGGGCAACAACAAAGGAACCCAATCATGTTGTCCGAAAATTATAATTTCAATCTCTTTTTGTTTTTTTTTTTTGTTTTTGCGTATGCGTATGTGCGAGTAAATGACGTGAAACAGACAGCAGCTGTTGCAGGTGTGTGCCTAACACACACACACACACACACACACGCAAAGATTTTTTTGGCACCTGAATCTAATTGAAATATTTATAGATTTTTGTGCATAGAAAATTACAATTGAAATTGCCCAGTTGACGTTGCATTTAAGATTCAATAATGCTGTTAATGATTGGCATTCTTGGCCATTGTCTAAGCTAATTTGTATTGCACATGGAACCCAAACCTCAGCAAAGAGAGAGAGAGAGAGATCAGACTAGATACTCTCTCTCTCTCTCTCTCCCTTCATTATGCTCTTGCTCTGTCTCTCTCTCTCTCTCGCTCTCTTTCTCTCTCTCACTCTGTCGCTCTCTGTGTGTGCGATTTGTGCTCTCTGCTGCGCTCAATTGGTAGACGCTACGCTCGTTGGCTCTCAACGTCGCTCGCCGAGATTTTATTTTTACACTTGTCTCTGGGGGCGAAACTAGATACACGCATCGAGACACGGGCTGCGAGATTTTTGAAATGATTTCGAATATTCTGTGAAACATACGCGCCAGTTGGCATCTCGACTCGGGAAAGCTCAAAACGTTACGCGAAATTTTCGGCAGTTTTAAACAAAAAAATCAAAAAAGAAAAGAAGAAAAAAAAATCGAATATTTGAGACGAGTACCTCAAAATCATTTTTAGAAAGTTCAGTCGGTCATTGGAGTGCAAGTTACTCTGTTTGCTAGATTCTTTTGGGGAGCGCGCGCGCGTGGCACAAAATGGCGGACGTGGAAATTATGCAAACGATGACGGAAGTCAAGAAAACGAAGAAGGTCAAGAAGACATCGAAGCGTCGCGAGTCCGAAGTGCAAATCAGCGAGGTGGATGCCACCAACGAGGAAAGGGGGTAGGTGGAACGTGTTACGTGTTGGGACTCGTTTTGTGTCAGTTCGCGGCTCCTTCAAAAATACCAAATTGCAAGTACCAATTAATGGGAACTTGTTGCGTTTTTCCTTGTACGCGTCATTTAACATGACTTGGTATTTTTGTTTGGTATTTTGGATGGATGAAATATGATTTTTTTGTTCTTTGTCAGTATGGCCGTGTAGCTCTGCTCTCTGTATATGTATTGTATACTCGTTCTATATCTACTTTCATTCAAAAGACTAAATTCAAATTCAGTTAATTCAGATACTCACATGCACATTCCGATAAAATACTCAATTCGCTCACAATATAAAATCGATCACAAGCAAAAACTATCCAAAGTACTCGCATATATATATATATATATATATATATATACAACTCGAACTTGTACAAAACGACACGTTTACTACCTTCTTTC